AAAGATTACTGGAAACAGTGATACCGAGGTCCTTGATATTTGTGACTTGTTCAAGTAACTGACCATCGAGGTTGTACTGGTGTTTGTTCGCTAATTTCTTTCTCGAGATGTGCATGACTTTACATTTCTTTGGGTTGAATTTCATTTTCATATCAACGCTCCATTTGAGAAGGTTGTTAAGGTTGTCTTGGAGAGAACTACAAGAAGTAGGAAGATGAAGAGATGTGAAAAGTTTGGAGTCGTCAGCGAAGAGTGCGAGCGATGATTCAGCCTGAATGTAATCTTGGACGTCGTTGCAATAAACAAGAAACAGTAGCGGACCAAGTATAGAGCCTTGCGGCACACCAGACGTAACCGGAAGCCAGTCAGAACAGACATCATGAAGAACAACTCGTTGTCGCCTATCACTGAGGTAGCTTTTATACCAAGATAGGAGAGACCCACTGATCCCAGAATTCTCAAGTTTCTGCAAGAGCGAATTATGTGGTACTTTGTCAAAAGCTTTTGACAGATCGAGGTATATGGCATCAACTTCTTTACCACTAACAACAGATTCCATGATGTCTTGGTATACCTCCAACAGTTGTGTTGTTGTTGATTTACCCCTGACGAAACCGTGTTGCCTATCGTAGATAAGCGGTGCAAGGTGTTGATATGAATGATTGTGGATGCATCGTTCTAGAACCTTAGACAGCACGCAAAGAAGAGAAATCGGTCGGTAATTGGATGAGAGTGTTGGATCATCCGCCTTGAAAACAGGAGTGATATTGGCAAACTTCCATTTACTGGGTACAACGCCAAGCGAAAGAGACATGTTTAGCAATTTGGATAACGAAGGGGCAATCTCGTCTGCCAGTTCGAGCAAGAGTCTGCTTGGAATGCCATCTGGTCCGCATGCTTTTTGAGGGTCTAGGTAGCGAAGCACTTCAGTAACTTCAAATTCTGTTAATACAATGTTGGATAATTGAGAACACGAGGGTATAGATAATTTAGATGGCATGGCAGGTGTATGAAATCAATATGACAATATATGACAATCATTAATATGACAATCATTAATATGACAATCATTAATATGACAATCATTTATTTACCAGTTTTATTGGCACCATTGTATAAATTGTGTAGATGGTTTCATATTATTACATACTGCACATAGGACATACTGCTATTATTAAAGACCATGTAAAGTCTGCTCTGCGAATGCGTTCTGCAGGCCTACATTCCAATGGTCGGGACCCGACCATTGGAATGTTATTAATATTTTGCATCTTCCAAACTTTCTTGAATTGAATCTCTAGTCTGTATTCATTTACAAGCATAGCAAACCAGAAGAGTTAAAAATTCAGTATAATGCATATCTAATATTTTACAACTATAGCACTGGGTTCAGACTTCAGAATGTAAACAAAGGGTTTGTTTACTTTACATGGCCTTTAAATTAATGAAACCTTTTTGGGCTGCTATAAACACCAATGTTTCTGACAGAGTTGTACAGGCAATACTGTAAACAGAAACAATATATTGTATAGTCAAACAATTCTATCAAACGAATTGACAAGTTGCAAAAGAATCCAAATGCTGTTTAATTGTTACATTCACACCATGATGATTCATACATTTACAGTTCAATTAAAAAATCCCAAATCTTGTATAAATACAGTCCTAGCATACGTGTATGCTTGTAAGTCTTGTACGCTTGAATTTCTTTTCAATAATAACACTCCAATATAGTAGATCAAGGACATATGCCATCATTCCCATCAATACTCACTCAGGGTGAACCAAGAGTATGAATTATTACCATAACGAAGGCTGTTATTTTGCCCAAATGAATTCAAGTATGGATAAATCAACTCCTTAATCCCTTCACCACTTTTTCGGACGAAAAGCAACAAAAAATTCGTCAAAATAAGCAACTTTTCAGGCCAAATAAAGCAAAATATATCGTATTCACTCATACCGGCCGCGCTCGTGAACGCCACAGGGGGTATGGGTTCAATAACTCATGGATTGACCAATCAGGATCGTTTTTCAATCCCGTGTGGCCAGAGCCACTCAACGATGGCTCTGGGTACGAGATTGCAGTTGTTATTGTTATGATGCTAAAGTAGAAAAACTTGAAAATATGTTTGATAACCTGAATAAACATGAATGACCATGTTTCCAAACACAATTAGAATAGGTTAGAGATAACGTTGAATAAATGACTAGATGTGAACTATTAGCCGTGTTTATATAATTATATATTATGCTAGAGGAACGTATTATGCGTGTGGGCTTATTGTACGTGCTAGCTGTACACTATTTGTGTTGTATAAAGACGGGAGAAATAATCAGATCAATAATCTATATGTAGTTTTGTTACGTGTCATTATAAAGACGCGGGCACCAGACCCATTATGCGTGCCGTAGACGAGCTATGACTGGTGTGGGTCTAAGACGAAAAATTGAACATAGTTCGTCTAGCATGTTGCGTCCGTCTTTATATTGAAGACACACTCAACCAGGCGAATAATAAATGCTTGCCGAAGTCCATAGACACGCATAATGCGTCTATAGTATGAAAAGGGCCAATAAAACTGTCGCCTTTAAATGACAGATACTGCGTCGTAAATTATAAAGTTAAAACAGTGATTCTTAGTGTTTTAAATTCGTAACAGTGATTCTTAGACTTAGTGTCGTAACTTATTAACTTAGAAACAGTGATTCCCAGTGATTTTGTTGGATGATATCACATGAGAAAAAGCCAACCAGACAACCAGTAATTAGACAAGTGCGGTGTCGGTGAATATATACCAGTTAAAATCCCGCTTGAGTGAGCTTCAATATTTAAATGTAATGCATGCGAGGCAAACCGCACTAGCCACAAACAAATCAGGACTATGGACATAAGCAAATAAGGTAGCTAATATATAACACTGATAATTTAGTCAATGCCACATTGATGATATTAATATATAGGAGCTTATATATAGGCTAACAATGAGAATGTGTGTTTATTCGTGCTTTTTTGGAGAACGAGGCATACACATGCATTGATATATTATTTAGAATGTATAATATACATGAGGTAATAACAATGAAAATTAGTTTCGCCTTTTGGAGAACGACGCATACACTCTACATATATGAAAATGTCAGTAAACATATATGAGCTATTGTAATAACAAAACACATTGCATGATAAATTAAAATGTAATAAGAATAAAAAACAGTAATAAGAATGAAAATATCTGTTTATTTTCACCATACGCACGATGTGCACGGATCGTACGGATTTAGTGCGCATCAATTGCATGATTAGTGTTTGTTGCACTGTTGGAGGTAAACATGCACAGCTTGAGGTTTTTTACCATGTGTTACGGATCGTGAAGTATATTCACGATCTGTGTTGCATCGTGATTGCTTGACCATGTGTTACGGATCGTGAACTATATACACGATCCGTGGCGCATCGTGATTGTTTCACCATGTGTTACGGATCGTGAACTATATTCACGATCCGTGTCGCATCGTGATATTGGACATGTATGCCTCAGAGTGAGGAACCTTGTCCTCAGTGTGAAGCACCTTGTCCTCAGAGTGAGGAACTTTGTTCTCAGACTGAAGAACCTTGTTCTCAGAGTGAGGAACCTTGCCTTCAGTGTGAAGAACAGTGTCCTCAGAGTGAGGAACCTTGTCCTCTGAGTGAGGAACCTTGTCCTCAGAGTGAGGAAGCTTGCCCTCAGTGTGAGGAACCTTGTCCTCAGAGTGAGGAACATTGTCCTCAGTGTGAAACACCTTCTTCTCAGAGCGAGGAAACTTGTCCTCAGAGTGGGGAACCTTGTTCTGAGAGTGAGGATCTTTGTCCTCAGATTAAAAACATTGTCCTCGATGGGAGGAACCTGTCTTCAGAGTGAGCATCCTTGTCCTCAGAGTGAGGAACCTTGTCCTCAGTGTGAGGAAACTTGTCCTCAGTGTGACGAACCTTATCCTCAGAGTGAGGAGCCTTGTCCTCAGAGTGAGGTACCTTGTCCTCAGCGTGAGGAACCTTGTGCTCAGAGTGAGGAACCTTGTCCTCAGAGTGAGGAACCTTGTCCTCAGAGTGAGGAACCTTGTCCTTAGAGAGAGGAACCTGCCTTCAGAGTGAGCAACCTTCTCCTCAGAGTGAGGAACTTGCCTTCATGGTGAGGAAACTTGTCCTCAGAGTGAGGAAACGTGTCCTCACCGTGAGGAACCTTGTCCACTGGGTGAGGAACCTTGTCCCCAGTGTGAAGAACCTTGTCCTCAGAGTAAGAAACCTTGTCCTCAGAGTGAGGAACCTTGTCCTTAGAGTGAGGAACCTGCCTTCAGAGCGAGCAACCTTGTCCTCAGAGTGAGGAACCTTGTCCTCGGAGTGAGGAACCTTGTCCTGAGAGTGACTAACTTTGTCCTCAGAGTGAGGAACCTTGTCCTCAGAGTGAGGAACCTTGTTCTCAGAGTGAGGAACCTTGTCCTCGGAGTGAGGAACCTTTTCCTCGGAGTAAGCAACCTTCTCCTCAGTGAGACGAACATTGTCCTCGGAGTGAAGAACCTGCTTTCAGAGTGAGGAACCTTGTCCACGGAGTGAAGACCTTGTCCTCAGAGAGAGGGGTACCTTGTCCTCAGACTGAGGAACCTTGTCCGCAGTGTGAGGAACCTTGTCCTCAGAGTGAGGAACCTTGTCCTCAGAAAGAGAAACCTTGTCCTCAGTGTGAGGAACCTGGCTTCAGAGTGAGGAACCTTGTCCTCAGAGTGACGAACCTTGTCCTCAGAGTGAGGAACCTTGTCCTCAGAGTGAGGAACCTTACCCTCAGAGTGAGGAACCTTCTCGTCAGAGTGAGAACCTTGTCCTCAGAGTGAGGAAGCTTGTCGTCAGAATGAGGAGCCTTGTCCTCAGAGTGAGGAACCTGCCTTCAGAGTGAGAAACCTTGTCCTCAGAGTGCGGAACCTAGTCATCAGAGTGAGGAACCTTTTCCACAGAGTGAGGAACCTTGTCCTCAGAGTGAGGAATCTTGCGTCAGAGTGTGGAACCTTGTTCTCAGTCTGAGGAACTTTGTCCTCATAGTGAGGAACCTTGTCCTCAGACTGAGGAACCTGCCTTCAGAGTGAGGAACCTTTTCCTCAGATTGAGGAAACTTCTGTCCAGAAAGAGGAACCGTGTTCTCAGAGTGAGAAACCTTGTCCTCAGAGTGAACAACCTTGTCCTTAGAGTGAGCAAACTTGTCCTCAGAGTGAGCAACCTTTTCCTCAGAGTGAGGAACCTTGTCCTCAGTGTGAGCAACCTTGTCCTCAGAGTGAGGAGCCTTCTCCTCACAGTGAGGAACCTTGTCCTTAGAGTGAGGAGCCTTGTCCTTAGAGCGAGTAGCCTTGTCCTCAGAGTGAGGAGCCTTGTCTTCAGTGTGAAAATCGTTTTCCTCAGAGTGAGGAACCTTGTCCTCAGAGTCAGGAACCTTGTCCTCCGAGTGACGAACCTTGTACTCAGTGGGAGGAACCTTGTCCTCAGTGTGAGGAACCTTGTCCTCAGTGTGAGGAACCTTGTTCTCAGTGTGAGAAACTTGTCCTCAGTGTGAGGAACCTTGTCCTCAGTGAGAGGAACCTTGTCCTCAGTGTGAAGAACCTTGTCTTCAGAGTGAGGAACCTTGTCCTCAGAGTGAGGAACCTTGATCTCAGAGTGAGGAACCTTTTCGTCAGAGAGTGGAACCTTGTCCTCAGAGTGAGGAACCTTGCCTTCAGAGTGAGGAAGCTTCATCTCAGTTTGAGCAACCTTGTCCTCAGTGTCAGGAACCTTGTCCTCAGAGTGAGGAACCTTGTCCTCAGAGTGAGAAAACTCGTCCTCAGTGTGAGGAACCTGCCTTCAGAGTGAGGAACCTTGTTCTCAGAGTGAGTAACTTTGTCCAAAGAGCGAGGAACCTTGTCCTCAGAGTGACGAAACTTCTTCTCAGAATGAGGAACCTTTTCGTCAATGTAGGAACCTTCTCTTCAGAGTGAGGAATCTTGTCCTCAGAGTGAGGAACCTTGTCCTCAGAGTGAGGAATCTTGTTCTCAGAGTGAAGAACACTGTCCTCAGTATGAGGATCCTTGTCCTCAGAGTGAGGAACCTTGACCTCAGAGTCACGAAACTTGTCCTCAGACTGAGGAACGTTCTCATCAGAGTGAGGAACCTTGTCCTAATAGTGAGGAACATTGTCCTCAGAGTGTGGAACCTTGTCCTCAGAATGAAGAATCTTGTCTTCAAAGTGAAGAACCTTGTCCTCAGAGTGAGGAAACTTGTTCTCAGATGTAGGAACCTTTTCGTCAGTGTGTGGAACCTTGTCCTCAGAGTGAGGAACCATGCCTTCGGAGTGAGGAACCTTGATCTCAGAGTGAGCAACCTTGTCCTCAGTGTCAGGAACCTTGTCCTGAGAGTAAGGAACCTTGTCCTCAGAGTGAGAAAACTCGTCCTCAGTGTGAGGAACCTGCCTTCAGAGTGAGGAACCTTGTCCTCAAAGTTAGAAACCTTGTCCTCAGAGTGAGGAACCTTGTTCTCAGAGTGAGGAACCTTGTCCTCAGGGTGAGGAACCTTGTCCTCATAGTGAGGAACCTTTTCCTCAGAGTGAGGAACCTTGTCACCAGAGTGAGGAACCTTGTCCTCAGAGTGAGGAAACATGTCCTCAGAGTGAGGAACCTTGTCCTCAGAGTGAGGAACTTTGTCCTCAGAGTGACGAAACTTGTTCTCAGAGTGAGGAACCTTTTCGTCAGTGTGACGAACCCTGTCCTCAGAGTGAGGAACCATTTCCTCAGAGTGAGAAACCTTGTCCTCAGAGTCACGAAACGTGTTCTCAGAGTGAGGAACCTTCTCATCAGAGTCAGGAACCTTGTCCTCGGAGTAAGGAACCTTGTGTTCAGAGTGAGGAACCTTGTCTTCAGAGTGAGGAACCTTGTCTTCAGAGTCAGGAACCTGCCTTCACAATGAAGAACATTGTCCTCAGAGTGGCGAACCTTGTTCTCAGAGTGAGGAACCTTGTCCTCAGTATGAGGAACCTTGTCTTCAGTGTGAGGAACCTTCTCCTCAGGGTGAGGAAACTTGTCCTCAGAGTGACGAAACTTGTTCTCAGAGTGAGGAACCTTTTCGTCAGTGTGTGGAACCTTGTCCTCAGAGTGAGGAACCTGGCCTTCAGAGTGAGGAAGCTTCATCTGAGAATGAGTAACCTTGTCCTCAGTGTCAGGAACCTTGTCCTCAGAGTGAGGAACCTTGTCCTCAGTATGAGGAACCTTGTCTTCAGTGTGAGGAACCTTCTCCTCAGGGTGAGGAAACTTGTCCTCAGAGTGACGAAACTTGTTCTCAGAGTGAGGAACCTTTTCGTCAGTGTGTGGAACCTTGTCCTCAGAGTGAGGAACCTGGCCTTCAGAGTGAGGAAGCTTCATCTGAGAATGAGTAACCTTGTCCTCAGTGTCAGGAACCTTGTCCTCAGAGTGAGGAACCTTGTCCTCAGAGGGAGAAAACTCGTCCTCAGTATGAGGAACCTGCCTTAAGAGTGAGGAACCTTGTTCTCAGAGTGAGGAACCTTGTCCTCAGAGAGAGGAACCTTGTCTTCAGAGTGAGGAACCTTGTTCTCAGAGTGAGGAACTTTGTCCAAAGAGTGAGGAACCTTGTCCTCAGAGTGACGAAACTTGTTCTCAGAATGAGGAACCTTTTCGTCAGTGTAGGAACCTTCTCCTCAGAATGAGGAACCTTCTCCTCAGAATGAGGAACCTTGTGCTCAGAGTGAGGAACCTTGTCCTCGGAGTGAGGAACCTTGTCCTCAGAGTAAGGAACCTTGTCCTCAGTGTGGGGAACCTTGTCCTCACAGTGAGGAACCTTGGCCTCAGTGTGGGGAACCTTGTCATCAGAGTTAGGAACCTTGTCCTCAGAGTGAGGAACCTTGTCCTCAGAGTGAGGAACCTTTTCCTCCGAGGGAGGAACCTTGTCCTCGGAGTGACGAACCTTGTCCTCAGATTGAGGAAACTTGTCATCAGAGTGAGGAACCTTGTCCTCAGAGTGAGGAACCTTGTCCTTAGAGTGAGAAACCTTGTCCTCAGAGTGAGGAACCTTGTCCTCAGAGTGAGAAATCTCGTCCTCAGTGTGAGGAACCTGCCTTCAGAGTGAGGAACCTTGTCCTCAGAGTGAGGAACCTTGTCCTCAGAGTGAGGAACCTTGTTCTCAGAGTGAGGAACCTTGTCCTCAGGGTGAGGAACCTTGTCCTCATAGTGAGGAACCTTTTCCTCAGAGTGAGGAACCTTGTCACCAGAGTGAGGAACCTTGTCCTCAGAGTGAGGAAACATGTCCTCAGAGTGAGGAACCTTGTCCTCAGAGTGAGGAACTTTGTCCTCAGAGTGACGAACCTTGTTCTCAGAGTGAGGAACCTTTTCGTCAGTGTGACGAACCCTGTCCTCAGAGTGAGGAACCATTTCCTCAGAGTGAGAAACCTTGTCCTCAGAGTCACGAAACGTGTTCTCAGAGTGAGGAACCTTCTCATCAGAGTGAGGAACCTTGTCCTCGGAGTAAGGAACCTTGTGTTCAGAGTGAGGAACCTTGTCTTTAGAGTGAGGAACCTTGTCCTCAGAGTCAGGAACCTGCCTTCACAGTGAAGAACATTGTCCTCAGAGTGGCGAACCTTGTTCTCAGAGTGAGGAACCTTGTCCTCAGTATGAGGAACCTTGTCTTCAGTGAGAGGAACCTTCTCCTCAGGGTGAGGAACGTTGTCCTTAGAGTGACGAAACTTGTTCTCAGAGTGAGGAACCTTTTCTTCAGTGTGTGGAACCTTGTCCTAAGAGTGAGGAACCTGGCCTTCAGAGTGAGCAAGCTTCATCTGAGAATGAGCAACCTTGTCCTCAGTGTCAGGAACTTTGTCCTCAGAGTGAGGAACCTTGTCCTCAGATGGAGAAAACTCGTCCTCAGTGTGAGGAAGCTGCCTTAAAAGTGAGGAACCTTGTTCTCAGAGTGAGGAACCTTGTCCTCAGAGAGAGGAACCTTGTCTTCAGAGTGAGGAACCTTGTTCTCAGAGTTAGGAACTTTGTCCAAAGAGTGAGGAACCTTGTCCTCAGAGGAAAGAAACTTGTTCTCAGAATGAGGAACCTTTTCGTCAGTGTAGGAACCTTCTCCTCAGAATGAGGAACCTTGTGCTCAGAGTGAGGAACCTTGTCGTCAGAGTGAGGAACCTTGTCCTCGGAGTGAGGAACCTTGTCCTCAGAGTGAGGAACCTTGTCCTCAGTGTGGGGAACTTTGTCCTCACAGTGAGGAACCTTGGCCTCAGTGTGGGGAACCTTGTCATCAGAGTTAGGAACCTTGTCCTCCGAGGGAGGAACCTTGTCCTCGGAGTGACGAACCTTGTCCTCAGATTGAGGAAACTTGTCATCAGAGTGACGAACCTTGTCCTCAGAGTGAGGAACCTTGTCCTTAGAGTGAGAAACCTTGTCCTCAGAGTGAGGAACCTTGTCATCAAAGTGAGGAACCTTGTCCTCAGAGTGAGGACCCTTATTCTCAGAGTGAGGAACCTTGTCCTCAGCACCGTTCGAGCTGAACGGTCATTGATTTTGAAGCTCCGCCATAAAACTTTGAAAAATATTTTGATGAATTAAGTTATGGCGACAAAAGCAATTAAGAGGGCCTCTCTGTAAAATCCACCCACTAGTTCGGGAAGGAAAAATAGATTTAGCTCATATTTTGCATATGAACTAGATTTGGTCAATATTAATCGAGCTTCTTTCAGAACGTTTCAACTTTCTCTTTTATAGGAGTTACAGCCATGTTGAAATTTGACCTTGCGAGAATATTTCAGACCGGAAATGAAGGGGAATTTTACACGAATTCATCTGATTTTTTAAAAACGTTGTGATGGCTTTATCCCCTCCAGTTACTATTCACACGCAAGATTAACATTAATACTCTCGTTTACCTGGAGATTGAACAACTTTATTTGCTTAATACGATTTTTTTTTACAGTTTTACGAAACTATGTTTTCAAGATGGCGACGAGAGGCTGAAAATTGCTCATATTTTACTTAAAATAGCTCAAAAGTGGCACCTATCTGAAGTTCAAAAGGCATGTAATTTGAAAGTATACCTACTAAAGTTAAATAATCAGGAATAAAACTCGTCTGCAAGCAATTTTCTGAAACGTTATAAATCTCCAAGTTGGGTCTATTTTTAGCTGTTTGTTTACATTCCGCCATTCCGGTCAGTATAATCACAGAGTAGATAAGACATACAGAGACGTAACTGACCGTTGTAAACACTGCGGAAGATTACGTTATCATGTACCCACTTTTTTTCAGGCGACCGACCGAAAAATGATCAACTGCGCGTGCTCAGCAAGTTTAAAGTGAGTCGTCATCAGGTCGTCATCCAATCAGATGCATGCATCTAGTAACTTGCCGAGCATGCGCACAAAAATGTGGTTACACTAGTTACGTCTCTGTATGTCTCTAATCTGTGGTGTAATCTGCAGACTGCAGACCAAGTGCAAAATGTCGAAAAGGTATACATTGCAGACTGAAATTGCAGACTTGGTATAAAATGCAGACTGTGAAAAAACCCTATAAAACTACACATTACGCCCGTTTTCAAAATTATGCGCCTTTATACCAAAATATAATCTAAGATTCAAATGTCAGTTTTATGTCACGAGAGTTGTGGGAACTGCTAAATGTAGTAAATGTAATCAAAATTAAAACATCGTAAACCGTATTTAATACCTAAAGAGTAAAGAAGAATATTGAGCTAAAATGAACTAGATACACAAACTAAACTAGAAAGTAGAAACAACAAACCATCACAAAAATAAATTTGTGTAGCGAATGACTTTTAATTAGTTTGAGAAAGACAATTAATTGTCAATTTATCCTCGAATTTAAATAACAAATGTGTATTAAACGCGCTTACGCCTGATCATTAGTATAGCAGTAATATTATGATTTTTTTGTGCTTAAATTTTGCAATAATTTTCACTAAAATATCTTAAAAATTATTCTAAACCTTTTTATATAAAACATACAAAGCTTATACATTAGCTCTATTCACATTAGAGACGGACAGGTCGTCTAGACGAACAAATCGTCTCTCAAAAATCGTCTTCACAGACGGACAAGTAGTCGTGAAACAATCACGATGCGCCACGGATCGTGTATATAGTTCACGATCCGTAACACATGGTCAAACAATCACGATGCAACACAGATCGTGAATATACTTCACGATCTGTAACACATGGTAAAAAACCTCAAGCTGTGCATGTTTACCTCCAACAGTGCAACAAACACTAATCATGCAATTGATGCCCACTAAATCCGTACGATCCGTGCACATCGTGCGTATGGTGAAAATAAACAGATATTTTCATTCTTACTACTGTTTTTTATTCTTATTACATTTTCATTTATCATGCAATGTGTTTTGTTATTACAATAGCTCATATATGTTTACTGACATTTTCATATGTGTAGTGTGTATGCGTCGTTCTCCAAAAGGCGAAACTAATTTTCATTGTTATTACCTCATGTATATTATACATTCTAAATAATATATCAATGCATGTGTATGCCTCGTTCTCCAAAAAAGCACGAATAAACACACATTCTCATTGTTAGCCTATATATAAGCTCCTATATATTAATATCTTCAATGTGGCATTGACTAAATTATCAGTGTTATATATTAGCTACCTTATTTGCTTATGTCCATAGTCCTGATTTGTTTGTGGCTAGTGCGGTTTGCCTCGCATGCATTACATTTAAATATTGAAGCTCACTCAAGCGGGATTTTAACTGGTATATATTCACCGACACCGCACTTGTCTAATTACTGGTTGTCTGGTTGGCTTTTTCTCATGTGATATCATCCAACAAAATCACTGGGAATCACTGTTTCTAAGTTAATAAGTTACGACACTAAGTCTAAGAATCACTGTTACGAATTTAAAACACTAAGAATCACTGTTTTAACTTTATAAGTTACGACGCAGTATCTGTCATTTAAAGGCGACAGTTTTATTGGCCCTTTTCATACTATAGACGCATTATGCGTGTCTATGGACTTCGGCAAGCATTTATTATTCGCCTGGTTGAGTGTGTCTTCAATATAAAGACGGACGCAACATGCTAGACGAACTATGTTCAATTTTTCGTCTTAGACCCACACCAGTCATAGCTCGTCTACGGCACGCATAATGGGTCTGGTGCCCGCGTCTTTATAATGACACGTAACAAAACTACATATAGATTATTGATCTGATTATTTCTCCCGTCTTTATACAACACAAATAGTGTACAGCTAGCACGTACAATAAGCCCACACGCATAATACGTTCCTCTAGCATAATATATAATTATATAAACACGGCTAATAGTTCACATCTAGTCTTTATTCAACGTTATCTCTAACCTATTCTAATTGTGTTTGGAAACATGGTCATTCATGTTTATTCAGGATATCAAACATATTTTCAAGTTTTTCTACTTTAGCATCATAACAATAACAACTGATGACTGTCGATATTGACTACAATTCTCCATTGCCCATTGGCATTGAGGATTTTCTACAATTCTTGTCAATTGTCTCTCGTCACCATTCAGATATATTTTCTGTGAAACATATCATAATAGAACCAATAATGCATAATTCATTTACTTTGTTCCCAACGCTTTGTCATTTTCCCCCTGCCCCAGTAGGTAGATGTAATAATCCATTTGTATATGCAACCAATGGGGGGCAACCGTTTCCTACCAAGAACAATATCAATTTGAATGTCTCTCTATCCGAAAGCGGTTTCTTCCAATGAATTAAACGCAGTTCTTTTAGCCAACTGTCCATGTTGTAAACACGTCTCCATCGAGAAGAGAGACTATTTCCAGTCGTTTAAACCCTTTCATCATGAAATACGAAGCGTCTGCACCGCAGGCTAACTTTCACAACGCGCAAAACGACGTGTAATTAAATGATGATAAAAATCTGTGGTAATTTTCCCAAACTCAAAATAATGTGGCGTTTAGTTGAATATTTAGAAATAAGTTACTAGTCTTGTGAAATCCCGTGAAATGCAATACAAACATTTTATTATGATATAGAGCAGGTGAACATGCGATATTGACGGTTAGAACTTGCTTACAAAAGCCTAGCTGTACTCGTGAGGGTATTCAGTTATATCCTATATAGGTTTTATTTGGTTAGATTCTAATTTCTAAATGAGAATAGCCATGACATGTAGTTGCAACTCGCGCAGAAAGGCTTATTAATGAGTTATGAATATTTGCATATATACCAATTCCATAGAACACATGCCATAATAGGATGTGTTTTCATTATAAAAATTTAGGTTCAACTGATTAAGCAAAGATGACTACATCTTCTTAACCTGTCAGCAAAAGATGACTGCATCTTTCTGAACACAAGAGTTTTCGCTAAATTGGTCTTTATAATATAAACACAAATTTGCGCTAGCTTTGGCGTTTGGACACTGATTTTAAAACAAAAAGATTTCGTGTACTGTTTGCGGTCTCTTGATATAGCTATATATATTCGATATTTGGCTGGCCAGTTCTAGTCAGTACAGTTCGCGCAGAAATAAGGCTTGTTGAATTATAACTATGATAATACAGACCTATATAGCTACCGTATCGGGTGCAACCACAATATCATATAAAATGATTCATGCATAATAGGATGTATGGGTTATTATATTATAAAAATTTATAGGTTCAACTGATTAAGGAAAGATGACTGCATATCTTCTTAACCTGTCAGCAAAAGATGGCTAGCTTTGGCGTTTGCACACTGATTTTAAAACAAAAAGATTTCGTGTACTGTTTGCGGTCTCTAGTCTTGACATAGCCATTCTATTTGTCTGGCCAGTTCTAGTCAGTACAACTCGCGCAGAAATATATACGGCTTGTTGAATTATAACTATGACAGACCTATATATAGCTACCGTATCAGCTGCAACCACAATATCATATAAAATGATTCATGCATAATTAGATGTGTTAGGGGCCTACTATATTATAAATATTTAGGTTCAACTTATTATAGCAAAGGTGACTACATCTTCTAAACCTGTCAGCAAAAGATGACTGCATCTTTCTGAACACAAGAGTCTCCACTAAATTAGTCTTTATAATACAAACACAAATTTGTGCTAGCTTTGGCGTTTGCCTACCGATTTTAAAACAAAAAGATTTCGTGCACTGTTTGCCGTTTACGGTGTGTTGATATATATAATCAGTACAATTCGCGCAGAAATAAGGTTTGTTCAATTATAACCATGGTAATAGCAGCAGCCGACTTTGCTCTGATAGCACTAATTCGAATGCCTTACTTGCCCCAAGCGTCGAGTATATAACATCTGTTGTGCCAGTTATAACGTATTCAGTCACCCCGGCAAAGAAACGGCGATGCGATACTTGGCGACCTTCGTCGTCTCGCAAGTCTTCAAGTTTGACCCGTTTAATCTCTGATGGAAAACACTTGAATGTTTTACTAAGAAGCGACTTATTGTATCAATTTGTATGCATACCAATTTTTCT